TATTCTTCAGAGGCCTTTAATAGGGGTTTCAATATATATGTTATTTATGCAAAATAATATTTTCACATAACAGCACTTACCTAAAAATTAGATCTGTGCCTGCACAGTTTTGGGAGCTTTGACTCATCAAGGAAGAAGTTGAATGTTCTGGAAAAGAATTTAAGTAGAATTAGGCCAAACACATTACAGAATTTAGTCTTATCCCCTTGTTTAACCATATAAGTCCTTCATTCAGTGTACTCTGTAGACAGTAAATGACGATTAAGTACAAATTATCTACTGTCAGAGTGAAATAAAGTGAGTATGCTGAAGAGCATGTGTGCATAGAGCAGGAGTAAACATAATGAGACAGGAGAACGGAGTTGGCACCAGAGAGCTCACCGAAGGAAGAGTCAGAACCACCAAGCTGCTCCAACTTATCTTCAGCCTCAAAGAGCCTTCACAGGGAGTTTCAGACAGCTACAAGAAAGCAATTTTATACAGTCCCTAGCAAGCATTAATAGCCACTTTCAGAACACCGCAGTTAAAATTAGAATCATTTAAGTATATAAGGTATGATAAACCATCATCAAATCTGTTTCCTGACAGTCTTCAGAGTAAGAAGGAAGAAAGGATTGAAAACTGCAAGTGTATGTGGGAAGAAAAGTGTGTGGTCCCTTAAGGGTATCTGATCAAGGACCTTTTCAATGCTAAAAAGGGGTAAGAAGAGGAGGAAACCATAAACAAGAACATAAAGGGACACAAAACCGATGGACAAATTATAAGAGAGGCAGTGTATTATGGGAGTTGAAGATGTTTATTGCAGCAAGGTTATCTGATTGAGCACACCCTGTATTAGGATGATAAGGAACAAACACACAGATATAAAACCTGACCAATTAGCATTAACAAAGAAAATACCCAGGGGGGAAAAAAAAAGAAAAACCAAAACACAAAACCAACACCAACCAACCCAAACCTGGTGACTCCCAGCTGGCCAAAGGGATGTTCATACCATATGATGTCGTACTCAGTATATAAAGCTGGGGGAAAACCAGAAGGAAGTGTGGACATTGGGAGTGATGGCGTTTGTCTTCCCAAGTAACCGTTAAGCATGGCGGAGCCCTGCTTTCCTGGGGATGGCTGAACACCTGCCTGCTGATGGGAAGCAGGGAATGGATTCCTTGCTTTGGTCTGCTTGCACCTCACCTATTAAACTGTCTTCAGCTTACCCACAAGTTTTCTCACTTTCACCCTTCTGATGCTCTCCCCAATGCCATGAGGGGGGTGCGTGCGTGGGCCTGAGGTGCTCCCCAGGGTCAACCCACAACACAGGTGAAATGGGACTTTGCAACCCATAAAGATGCAAAGCCCAGGGAGTAGCGTGTTGGAGGGGGTGAGTGCAAACAGGCCCGCTGAGGAGGGAACGTGCAGGGCAAGGGGGAGCAGGGAGGAACAAAGGGGGCACAGGCAGAAAGGTGTATAAAAAGGGTGGGACTCATCACCGCAGTCTGTCCCATCTTGTTACTAAGTCCCTCCTTTGCGATCTCCCCGCAACCTCCCTCGCTATCCCGCGTGCCTGTGCGCTGCAGGGACTAGGTGCCAGCTACGGGGGGAGCGGCATGAGTGGGGTTGGTGCCAGCTGCTGGAGTCAGACCGGGAGCCTCGGCGCCCCAGGGCTGCAGTGTCAGCTACTGGAGTGAGCGCTGGGATCCCAGCCGCTGGGGTGGGAACGGTGTGCATCCCAAAAGTCAGCTACTGGGGGGAGACTGGTACGAGTGAGGCAGGTGTGGAGCTCGGTGTCCGCAGCTGGAGCGGGACTGGTCACAGCCCACAGACCTGGTGCTGGCTTATGGGGAGGTGTGTGTCTGTGTGTGTGTTTGCTGCCAAAGGTGAAGCTGAATGGGCCAGTGAGTACAAGGGCCTGCGTCAGGGCTGGGGTGTTAGGGAAAGGGTCTGTGTACCCAGACCAGTGAGCATGGGATGCCGCTGGGACAAGCGTGAGCGCTGTACGTGTGCTAGTAAGCACTCAGCTGGATGAGCCAGCAAACGGGGGACCCGTGGGGTGGGTAAGAGGGCCAGGATGTGGGCAGGGGTACCAAGTGCCTGTACTCAAGGGATCTACAAATGCTTATGTGCTTGTGAACCTAGAGCCCTGTACGTGTGCCTGCACTAGTGACTTTCCATCTGCCAGATGAAGAGAAGGGGACTTGGCTGCGGGTACCTGTTGCACATGGGTCCTGTACCTGGATGCCGTTTAAGGCATGGCTTGCCTGTGGCAGCCTGTGACCAGCTGTGTCAGTGTCCTCTGTGTGTGTTTGTGTCCCCGGGACACAAGCTCAGCTTCACTGCTGGTTGAACCTGCAAGTGAAAAAGCAGCAGTTATGTCCCTCATGCCCCGGGCATACACATCCCCGGTACCCAGGTACCTGGGGCTGTGCAGGAGGAGTCTTGGGCCAGAGCTGCTGGAAGTGGTGGCCACTCCTAACATATCCCATGTGTTAGGAGAACAAAGTGCTGGAGAGAAGCTGGACAGTCTAACGGTTATTTTGTAGTCTCACCAGTGCCTTGTCACTCTGTCCTGCCTTGGTGGCTTAAGCCACAATAAAAATTTCCTGGCATAAAAAAAAATTGGTTGGTCATGTGGACTCAGCTGGGGCTGTTAATGAGAAATATTTCTTCTCATTATTGGTGTTAGGGAGCAGCAAGAGCAAGGCTGCCCCAGAACTGAGAAGGAGCCAATGCTCCTAACCCTAACCCACAGAACCTAAACCAGGCAAGGAGAACCAGGTGGCGAGAGCAACAGCTCCCATCCAGAGCCATTCCAGGAAATCCAAACATTGGTTCAGGAATAAGGCTGAGCCCAGGCTCACCTACAATATAGCTTACAGAGTCCAGGATGTCACAGCCTGAGCTGAAACAGTATCTGCGGGCCCATGGACAGGGGGTGGGTAAGGGTCCCTGGTGAGGCTGTTTAGAGCCATTAAGGCCCAGTACTGCCCTCAGGGCTCCAACAACCCCATTCCCAGGCGACAGCAAGTTTAAACCTGCCCAAGTATTATTTTCCCTCTAATCAGCACGTACGCGTCAACTGGCAGGGCTAAGCTGTATCCTTGTGCTGTATTTGAGTGGGAAAGGTAAGAAAGCACTAGGGCTGGACAGACTTCACCTCTGTTGGTCTGCCTAGCCTGCTCCCTTCCAGAATATGAAACAGATCTCCCACTGCATACTTCTGACCTGTACCAGCATCACTCACACTTTTATTTATTTTTTATTTAAAAAACCCAACATATTTTCTTGTAATTATAACTTCTGATCTCTTTTTAAAAATAGCAGTCACAGAGCCCACGTAGCCGAGGCACCGTTATTACCAGTTCTCATGCTACACCAGAAAAAGCCATAGAATATATTTTTTAAAGGAGAAAATTCAAACATTTCCAAGTCTGCTTTCATAAAGCATTATTCAGTGTCATACCCAGACAGGTTCTTCCCTCTCCTCAGGAAGAAACCCAGGAATATTTACAACATAACCTTCACCGAGAAATTGCTGTAACCTGGTGTGCAGCTGCTCTCATTTTACACAGATTTTTGGGGTAACTGCAGTTGCCCATCGAAACTACCAGGTTTTGAAAGATGCTTTCTGTTTAGTCTGACAGAATGGTGGAAGAAGGTAAAGAAGCATAACATTCACAAGCTTTCAGCCTTCTCTTGAACATTTGCATCTGCAAGAACAGAAATATTAATTGCTCCCCTCACCTCAATTCCGCATGAAAAACCAAAAAACCCCAACACTTCTGACCACAACAAGAGTTACTATCTAGCAGAAACTCCCAGTCCCATTTGGCAGCAAAGACTTACTATTTGAAAACAAGAAGTTTCACAAGATATTCAAAACCCTGTGGAATACCAAAAGCTATATGGCACATGGCTGGATAACAAATACAGTCACACTTGGAATAAGGAGGAAAAGACCTCAGAAGGCAACCAGAAAGTAGAAGCAGGGGCAAAACTTCCACCTGAGAGTCAGTCACGCTCTTGGCTGCTTGGCACCAGAACCTAGATGCAATCTCACCATGTGAGATGCCATGACGATGCAGGTTGTCCAGTGCTTTCCACCTGGACAGTGGAAAAAATGTGATCCATGGATAATGTGCCCTTCATTTCATACCCGCTGCTGTGTTCACTTATGTCCTCGTATGATAATGATTCTGTACTCAGAAACCTTCGCTGCCCACACTAACCAGGTAATTCAGGCTGCTCATGTCACCCTCTCAGGCCAAGAGCTTAACATGCCAGTTCAAGGATTAACAGACCTACTGAGGTATGTTGGAGCAAGTCAGACCAAAATACACAACCAGGCACGCTGTTGGTGCTCCTTAGCATCTGTTACATCCCGTTACAGGCTGGCAGCCACAGGAAGCTCCTCTGCCTCAGCCGCATTTTGCTGCGCAGCATGCAGCAGCATCAAGTCCATATACGTCACTGCTGGGACAGAGGTCAATCCAGTACCACTTCAGGAGCTCTGTGCTCACGTGCCCCAGCAAATACCCATCTATCAACCCTTCAGGGAGCCCACCTGCTCCACGGAGGTGTAACAGCTTGCTCGGAGATCCCTCAACTCGGAGCAGCCCTGTCCAATAATGAACGCACTCAGCAGCAGCTCCAGAGGTCAATCCTACCTTTACGTTTGTTGGCGAGAAAAAAAAATAGAAATAAATGTTATGTTGCCTACCCCACAGCTCAAAGCAGCCCAAAAGCACATACACATTTCAGTTTTGATCCCTGTCACACTCAGATACGCCAGCTCTCCAGCGCCGGGTCTTTCACAGAATGGAGCTCTTCACAAAAATGGCTTTCTGGATGAGAAGGTATTTTAAGTAATTTCATAAATAGGGGAATAATGTCCAGCCGATGGCTGCATCTAACAGCGTATCACACAAGAGTACTCCAGCAACTCGTGAAAGTTTTCAAACTTCGTGGAAAAGGCCTCATGCTGGAAAACGTCCGAGATTCCAAAGCATTCAGGCAAGTGCCGGAATAAAATACTGCAGTGAAACATCCTCGTGGAGCAAGATAAAGTGGACAATTCTTTTACTTACAATATCTGTAAAGAGAAGAAAAAACACAAATCCAGTTTAAAGCAGGAAAAATAGCTTAAAATTACATCTTCCACAGAATGCCACCGTAAGAATGCAATGCTTCCACCACTTCTGACAGAAGGTGGACAAGACATACTGTCCTGTAACATTTAAGTCCCTGAGGGTCTATGCAGCATTACTAGAGAGTACACGAAAGCTGATACCAAAAAGGAAACATGCAATGTATAGGCCTATAATGCTATACCCATGATTTAAATGTTCCTTGGGAAATTCCTAGCATTGGCACTAAACCATAACACACAGATGTTCTCAGAAAAAACACAGAGAGTTACCAAAGAAGGATATAAAACCCTGCACAGGCTTCTGCTAGAGAGAGTATATCGTTTCTGTGGTTACAGACGCTAACTGCATAAAAAGTATCTTGGTATTAGAATCAATTTGGTGGTGAATGTAAGGAAAAAAACCAACAAAGCAAACATGTCAGTAAATCTGAATTTCTTTGCTAGAAACTAGGGGCTTCAAGGCTTAAAAAAAACCCACAACAAACTCAATAATAAAAATAATAACTTCAAAACAAAGAAGACACTCATGATTCATCAGTCTGAGTATTCAACTGGATAATTATAGAAGGGCTCATCTTAATTTTATTTTAATGATTTGGGGTTTTGTGGTTGTTGGTTTGTACTTTTTTTTATTTCCCCAAACACCAGAGGCCTGATGCTTACTGCCTAAATATAACAATATTAAAAGTGATCAGGTACAGTAAAAACATTTAAGACAAAACAGAAGACACAGTGTTCTGCTGAGACTGGAAGTATGGCAACCATCCCTCCTTGAGTTTGCAAGCAGAGCTGTTGAACTTACTGCACAGGGCTTTGGTGGGATTGACCTGCTGCCCAGCAAGCAGTTGCAGCAGCTTCTTGATGTCTATGCGTGCCTCAGCCATGCTTTCCAGATCTCTGTCTTGAGCAGAACTTTGATAGCCACCCTCCGATGCTAAAAGTGTAAGAACACAACACTTAACCAAAACATCAGAAGTAGTTTCAAGACCTAGAAGGACACACCTGGTAATCACTGAACAGCTGCTACTCAAATGGGTTGTTTTTCAGAAACAACAGTGCAAGAAAGAGAAAGCCCAGTTTTCTTACAAAGTTGTATCACCTATAAGAGATTCTCCCCAGAAACATGAAAATGCCATTGGCCACTTGTCTTTTCAAGGTTTCATTTGCAGACTCCAAAGTACTTGATGCTGTTTTGTAAGGACTAACAGAAGGTAAGTACTGTTAGCAGCATCGTGCTCAAGTAACGAGATCAGACTCAAGAGGCAACAAACAGGGAAACTTACCCCAGGGAGGATTTCCCAAGTCTTTAAAATGTGTTGTTACAGATACTAAGTCAGTTTCTATTTTCAAGTTCATTTCTCCACTCAAGTTCGCTTCAATCACCTGCAATACAATCAATCTCAATTTTAGGCAAGCCACTTTTGCACTGCAGGACTACAGAAGAATAAAGTGCAGCTTTGTTCAAATACAAGCTTTCAGAAGCAATTCAGCACCTTCACAGCTAAAGTGTACGTTTTGAACATTTGAATGTTCAGCTACAAAATGCGTTTCTCATCATCCCTGTGTGAATTATCCTAGACCGACCTCCTTGAAATTAGGAAAAGAAAGAGATTCAATTGCTCTCCAGTACTTTTAGAACAAGTACTGGCTTTGGGAAGTGCACATGCTAAGGAAAAGCTTTAGAAATAAGAGACTGAAGCTGCAGAAATGCAAGACTTCTTGCGTTTCCATCCAGCTTTTCAACAAGCAGAAAGGCACGTACACAGTCCACACGACACACAGTAACTCCTTTGAACTGCTAGAAATCCTGGCAAAGTGCTGAAAGCTTTCAAATTCCATCCTGACAAAGTGTCCAACCAAAAGGAGACTACATATGACCTAACGCAAATACCAAGCAAATAAGAGGATTCCGAAAGCACATCTAAGCTCTTCATTTCTGTGATGAGAAGAATTCTAAACAAGTTTAAAAGCAGCTCATATCACAACCTGAATCTCCAACAGAATGGGAGATGCCCACCAATGAATGCTCCCAAACAATGGCCAAGTACTAACTGAAAGAGCTTCTAAGCCCTTTTTGCAGCACTGGTCTTGACCAGTTTTACTACCAGGATGCATCTAGCACAAATATTTAGTTGTGACACCTGATGGTTTGGTTCTTTAGTAACAGGAAATCATGTAGAGGATGCATGTAGTCTGCCTCCTCCCTTAGAGCTATAAAAGCTATTTCACAGAGATTTACTTATTTTCCTGCTTCGGAGCAGGAGGCAAGGAACTTTCAGAAGGTGGGTATGCCCACTGTTGCTATGCTACCTCTTCTGAGTGTTGCTGACCACCGAAGTTCAAACCCATCACAGAGCTATCCTGTGTAAGAAGAGATCCCCAACCCTGGAAACAAGCACACACTGTGCTTAACTGTGTGTAAGCACTTCCACTGAGGACATGGGGTGAGGGAAGAGAGAGGGAGGAAAACGACAAACCCAAGACGACTGACAAAGGGTAAGAGTTTGAAGTGCTTGCTCTTGTATGCACAGGATGATTGCCATTTGTAAAACTGCCAGACACCCAGGGTAATCTGCTAACTCTTCCGAGCCTTGGAACACTGAGACTGTCCCAATCTCAGGATTCTCAGGTTACAGAAAATTTCCTATCAAAATCGTTATATAAACAGTCTCAAAACCAAACTATTCCAAAGCTCTATGCTTACTTACTAACTTTTATTTCTGTCAATTCCAGTGACTGTGAACAACTAAACCCCTCCTCTCCCCCCCAATTTCTAGGCAACTGCAGAGTGCTTCTTTCAACGTAAGGCCCACCAGCATTCCAGAAGCCCAGGATGGACTGCAAATCCACCATGTCAGAGTCTGAAGGACAGGCTAACATCCAGGAGCTATTAGTACGACTTCCTTTAAATCCAACTTCAAGTTTGCCTGAAGTTCATTCACACAGAGACCTAACGCAACACTCAATAAGCATTTCTTTAACGAAATCACCTGGAAAGTCTCCAGCTAGCTTCCTGAAGGACCACAATTTCTTACCAGCTACAAAGAGCAGCTTGTAGCAACACAGTGCCATGCTCTTTCAAGGATTCAGTACAAAGAGCATCGCTTTCTGGGAAGCCCAGGCCAAGCTCTTCAGTGTAAATCCTAACATAAATCCCATCATCCTCTTCAGCCCTTACACTGTGCAAGGATCTGTTTCATTCAGCTTCAGGGACAGTAAATTTACTAGAGATGCACTTCTTCAGGTGCCTTCGGTTCAATGTCTGACCCATCCTAACATAAGATATAACACAGGGGCACCAGTCTGGGCGACAGGGAAACAAACCATGCCCAAGCTAAAATAAGGTCTGTAGGACACACGCCTCAAGTGCCTTAACTTACGATGGAATTGCTGAGATTCTTCATTCTTTCCACGACACTCTTCATTGTTTTCAGCACCGGTAGGTAAATACTGACCTAGAAAGACACAAGAACTGCATTCACACAAGTATTTCATGCGTGACTGAGATGTGATGCATTTACTTCTCCCTTCAATCCTATTCCAGACTCAGTTATCTACTGAAATCAGAAAATTACTCAGAACAGAGGATCTCTCTCTCTCATTATACCAACAGGCCATAGCTCTACCAATTGCTGCAGACATACTATGCCACGTCTGTGTTCAAAACAGAGATAGGTTTTTGCAGATCAGATTCTCACATCTGTGAAACTTAGTTAATAGGTACTATAGCCAAAAAGGAAAGAACGTGATTCCCATTGTGCTGTAATCATTTCTAGAATTGCATCAGCGTAAATCTGAAATAACAGGACAAAATACATCAGGTTTCTACTCAGTCATATGTCTTCAGAAATCAAATACTCCTAGCTATAGAGGTAACAGACATCCATAACCTCAAGGAGGAGCACATTCACACAGACCTTTCTTTTCAACTCTGCCAAAGTCAAAAAGGATAGAGAGATGTTATATGAAAATCAGGAGGAAACACATACATATCTAACTGTCATGCAGGCCATGAAGTTCAAAAAAGCCAAGATTATTTGGGCCACTTGGTATTTCAACAGCTGAAAAAGTCTAAACCTGTGTGGTTTGGAGATGCTCCTGTGTAAAGCCATGCAAGTCCTTTGCTCCTCCCTTAGTCCATCCCAAATATGACAGCAACAACTGGTAACCACCTCCTTTGTTTTTACAGGTTTTGGACTCTCTTGTCAAGATGGAAGCTATGTCCCATCCCTCTCCAAACCTCTAGCCTCCAGCCTTCCCTCTCTCCTTTTATTTCCTCTCCAAAACCCATCAGTATTATACTCCACAGCACCAGCATTACACTTGGCAACTACCCTTTTCCACAGGGAATATAAAAACAGAGGCTTACATCAAAGTCTGGCACACTGGGCTCTCTGAAGTCATTCCATAATCTTCTGGGAATAACCCCCACAGGAATGTCATGTGTCACAATCCTACTGCTGCTTGATAAGGATGGCTTGAGGGAGAGAGAGAGAGAGATATGCTTTTGCAGTTAAAAGCAGGACTTAAAGTGTGAAGTCAAGTTTTTCAGACCTACTCTGGGCAACACTGTAACTGAGTACCTCAGACACACAGTTTGTTTTCTATAGGTTCATACTGGTGTGCCATTAAGCAGACTTCCCTTTTGAATAACGGAAATCACCTTATTCACTTGTGAATAAGAGGTGGTGAGGGACCAGTCATTATTATCTGTAAGCTACCCTTGGCACTGAAGAGATGAATCAGTAGAAAGGTGTTAACAACAAGCTGGATTTTGGTTAACAACCAGCAAAAAAATCCATCAGAAGACAGCAGGCTGAAACCGAATAGTAGGACAACCAAAAGCAAAACAAAGAGCCAAACACTACACCAAAACCTCCTTCACCTAATGGCTTCAATGAGAAGGCAATAACCCACAGACGACTGAGAGAATGAAGGAACGGAGAAGAGCAGACATTACAAAAAGGTGTTTCAATTATATAACTTACATTTTTCCTCGCCTGTTGGAAAATACAAAGCTGTTTCCGTGTGCTACCAACCATGATGGCAGAAAAGGCCAGTGAAAAGGAAAACTGCATGATTTTTTTAAATTTAGTTTTCTAGAATTACACCAAAGACTACTAGAGCTTCTATTTGACCTTAGGAAAAGCACTTCATTTTTAAGACCTTCTTCTTAGTAATGAAGGTAAAAACATGGTTGCACTTACTAACTCCACAGCAACTCTGAGGCAGGGACAGTGTTTGTTGGTCAATTTGATCTTCACTGCCTTCGCGCTCTGGGCAGTTTTTAAAGCTCTCGACAGATTCTCAGGCACCAATTCTAAATAGATTTCATTGTGCTCTGCAGCTACTCCTTCCATCTGAAACTCATCGAAGAAATTCCCCTACAATTTTTGAAAGTTGTGAAAAAGAAAGCAAAGAAAAAAAAAAGAGGGTAAATCTTTTGCTATCAGGCCTTAAGCTCAGAACTGCATGTATACAACAGGAAGCTTTCCTCTGTCAGGCATCACCTGCAGGAATCAAGATGGGCTGTGTAAGCATGAAGACCCACTGCTTTAGGCTAAACCTATTAATTTCAGACCCTCCCCTAACCTAGCTGTCCTCAAAACAGGGGTATGGTGATGGGTGAGTTATGCTTTCCTGTTTCCAGTTTGGGGCAGGCCCTTGTGGGGAGGTTTAGATTAGATATCAGGGAGAAGTTCTTCCCAGAGAGGGTGGGGAGGCACTGGCACAGGTTGCCCAGAGAAGCTGTGGATGCCCCATCCCTGGAAGTGTTCAAGGCCAGGCTGGATGAGGCTTGGAGCAACCTGGTCTAGTGGAAGGTGTCCCTGCCCATGGCAGGGGAGTTGGAACTGGATGGTCTTTAAGGTCCCTTCCAGCCCAAACCATTCTGTGATTCTATGATAAGACACCCCTCATACGCCAGACTCGACTGGACGCTCTGGTTTACAACGACATGGTTCTGACCTTCCCCAGGCTTACCTGGCACAGCTCACACCACATACTGACGCCTCCATTGGCTACTTTATCCGAGAGGATGAAATACAGCTTGCTGACAGTAAGGCGCAGGGTGCAGGTCTTGGCTAACTTGGCGATTGTGTTAATCACACCTGGGGAAGGGAGGGGGACATTACCGCCGTAACCACTTCACACACCTCGTCCCAGGGGGACTGGGGAGAAACGCTCAGGCTCCAAAAAACGTAGTTCAGAAGCTCCGGAACACTTCGGGCCGAAGGAAAGCGCCTCACCCGGTCTCTGCCCGGGACAGGCCTCTGGGCCCGCGGCCTAGGCC